ATAACTGCTGTGCCTAATTTGTAACAATTACTGTCAACCTTCAGTTAAGAGCCTGTTCATTCCACCCTGGCCTAGAAAAGAGTGAAATGTATGACTCGTGTGCATAATTTTATTCACATCATATTTCATACTGATTATGTATTGATGACATTGATTCATTTACTCTTTACAGCGCCACTTGCATGGATATTAAATCTTATTGACCACAGATGAATTTTAATTTCAGATTGGTGATAGATTTTTCCATCAGCTCTGATAGTGTGTTTGACTTTTTCATCATTAACCCAGGCAATCGCACAGCACTGAGTTATTGCATTGAAACAAGAAGTGCACACTTCACTTGCTAATTCCTTATGGATGTGCAGTGGGGACTCCATTCATGTCTGTTGTAAGGATCACATGCGTACACTCACAAAACCAGAAACAGTTCTCTGCAGATAGACATTTAGCCAGCTTCCCAAGTCTAGGGGGAAAATAGTAGGCCTTTGTGTCTTTGGTAATACATTTTCTTCTTGCTGAGTAGGGAAAGGACACATGCTTGGAAATGTTTAACTGTCTAAAATTACGCTGCCCTATTAGAATGCTCATATTTGCTCTTCTCCCTTGCTTAGGTTTATGGGGTAATTTAAAATGTTTTCTTTATTTAGTAAGTGTTAATTACACGAGATTGTGCAGTTTTATTTAATTTACTAATAGGGAAGGAATACAGAATAACCATTTAAGAATCAGAATCTTAATATTTTTTATTGAAAATTAGCCAGTTACCTCATCTGATGTGTGGAGGCTTCTTTGAGCACTGCCGGCACCCAGGAGGACTTACCAGGTTTTACAGTGTCAGTTTTAATGAGGTCAATCTATAGGACCTAGTTGAGAGCAGTGAGTGGGTAACATAAATGTTTTGAGAAACGCACTTTGAACTTGAGGCCAGGCCATCCCTAAGTACAGGAGTGCCACAAATAAGATAGCGACCCCCACCCCCCCCTTTTAGTGCAAAAGCCGAACACTCTCCCAGTGTGTGCCTTATCTTGTTGTGTTCCTGGTTTTATGCTATTTCCTGACTTAGTAAATTATTTTTAAAAAAATTACAGCTTATTCCAGAGTATGCTTGGTGAGGAGAAGGGTGGGTGCCAGATTGTGAAGACTGAACACAGTGGCCGTGCTGGGACCTAGTGCACAGGACGCTTTGGGATGTGAGCAGCACCCCAGCAGCTCCTCACTGAGGATGAGACGATGTCAGTGAAGGTGTGAGGAAGTGGGAAGATGGTTGTTTTGTTTTTACAGGATTGCCTATGTTGTGCCTTCGAGGGGAGGCAGTTGCTTTCCACACCTTGTTCAGGATGGAACTTATAGGGTGTTCATATTGGAACACAAAATACGGTTTAGGCAATGAAGGAGAATCTGCTAGTGTATATTTTCTTAATGTTGAGAAATTTAATGTCCCTAAAACAGAGGGAGACAGGTGGCCTTCAAAAATTAATTGCACATAAAAGGCTTAAGGAAATAAAACTTAAGGGAATGATCTTGTCGGGCGGGCACTGTGTTTTTCGGGGGGTGGCGTTAATTAAGCACATTTCCCCGTTGGCATGAGTAGCTCCCATTTTTGCCTCTAGTGTTCTGCTCACCATGAGCACAGTCAATTCAAGGTAGTTTCTGTAAATAAAGGTTCTGGGCAAGCTGAATGTGGTCCAGAGAGGTATTAATGAGAGGGCGAGAGGGAAGAGTTAATGAAAACACACTTCCTAGGGGAACATAAACTGCTTTTTGGAGAATGCTTTAAAATGATTTTCCCAAAACCCTGTGGCGTTTCTTTTCTACGGGAGATGAGATGAGGAGAAATGACAAATAGTTCCATGTTATTATTTTCTTTTCTCTCGTTCTCCGTGTTTGGGGGTTGAGAAAATTGGATATTTATTTTGGCCATTTTCCTTCCATTCGCAGAAGCAATTACATTTGAGTGCATGATGCATAGTAAATGTATTTAGCCATCCTCTGTCTTAAAAATAATGAGTTGGTTATTTGTATGGCCCTTTAAAGGCAGTTCATTGTATGGGAAGTATCAGCCCCCGTCACTGGTCCTTTTAAACTTGGGTTCTTCTGAAATGTGTCTGTGGTATTAGGGATGTGCTGTTCAGTCTCTGTGCTGTGGCTCTGGCTTTTCTATATTCTGAGGAAAATAAGTTTAAGATTCTCAACTGAAATGTCATATTTGCCTGAAGTCTGGGTCCAGTGATGTTTGAGGAGCTTCAGAGCTTGATAGCTTCTGTCATTTGGAGGAGACTTGGCCAGTCCCAAAACTATGTGCTTTCTAGGATGTTAGAAAAATCAGAAATCGTGACTCATCTTTTCCACTTGTGTAGATAGATTCCTGCCTGCTCGGGATTTTTTTCTTCCATTCACAAGTGTACGGGAATCTTCCAGAATTTTCTGTGCTTTAGTTGGAGGAAGATTTAGCAAAGCTTTCTAGGTTCCATATCACTTCACATCTCCCCACAGTTACATAATTGGTGTTGTGAGTGTCCATCGTAGAGGACATTTGATGATCATTTATTAAATATGCTTGCTGGCTGCTGGCACATCTTTGTTCTGGACAGACAAATTACCTTTCTCATACCGAGCTTACACTCTGGGGAATTGAGCCTCCACCACTTTAATTAGCTTGGAAGTGGGGGTTGGAGACGCAGGCCTTCGGTAAGTTAGGGGAAGGGTGAAAGCAAGAACTTCCTGAGATGTTCCAAATGTGATTTTTAAAAAAACCCTCCAAACCTAGACGTTACTCCGTTTTGGTAGTTGCACGCAGACTGTGTTTGGCGGCTGTGCGTTGCCATTCGTAGCTTAGGTGTTGGAGTTAGGCTTCCCGTGGATCCCTGTTCCTCGATCCTTCTTAGGTTAGAAGGAGCACATCCCATGTATCGATTGCTGTGCCTGTCATAGTTATGTAACATCCCGTGACAAAGGTGGGAGACTGAAGAAACCAAACAAAACTTGTATATATGAGCATAGTTTTTGTCACACACCTGCCCTGGAGGGAGAAGCCAGGATGGGTGAGGAGGGGTTACGGAAAGACAGCAGAATAATAATGCTATCTCAGTCAGACTCAGTGACAGCTTTGTTACTCCTGCTTTAAAGGGGAGGAAACTGGGACAGTTTAAGTCACTTGCCACAGGTGACACAAATGAGCCCATAAAATCCCAAACTTCTCAGGGACCTTGCTCTGAATGGCCCTGTGGTTATTTTAAAAGTCCAAGACCCCACCATGAGGTGAGCCCTTCTAATTGATTCCGTTTGGAGAGGAACTCACTTTAAGGGAGTTTCAAGGATGGTAGACATCTACATCTGAAGCTTCTCAGAGTCCATTTACCATCTCATTTTCTCGGCTAGTAAAACATGTTCTGCTTCGGAGCAAGGCGCACAGAGAGCCTCCATCAAGTCACAGTTGGGAAGTAATCTAATAAAAGAAGATTAGTGAATGTGGAGGCGACAGAAGCTGTGCTGTTTAATACCTCTCAAGTTTAGCGTTTTAGCTAAGATGCCCATTCTTATTTCTTGCAGGTCTGCTGAAAGGTCAGAGTAATGCAGAATGCGTGCCTTCATCTCAGATTTTGTTCATCACAGGTGGATCCCATGTGTCTTCAGTAGACCTCTGTAACCAGCGCCCGCCCCATGCCTTCGCACCTTCTTTAGTCTTGAGTGCCCTTCCTGCATTTATCGGTGTATTAAAATGACTGAATATGGACATTAAGGACTCCATGAACCTGGGCTAATGGGAGACGGTAGCGAGAATGAAAAAAGATCCACCGAAGGACATCTTGGGGGGGGGAGGGTGCTTGGGGGGAGGGGAATGACTAATGAAGCTAATTAAAAGAAGCATTGGAATCTGCTTTCTACCCTCATTAACAATTAGCAGGGCACCGGCCAGAGTTTGTACCCTGTGTTTTACCTTAACAACATTCTGTTTGCTCTTTGTATATTTAAGTGTTGTAATGAAATGTGTTTCAATCAAACTGAACATGAGTTAAAGGAAAAGAGATGTGGCTTTTGTGATATTATATCACGAACACTTTTATTGTATCTCTGTAAAATACAATGTATGTATGCATGTGAGTGTTCTTGTCCTGATGTTGCTCCGCCCATGGCAAAGATTAAAAAGAGAAAAGAAAAAAAAAATACAAAAAAGGAAAAAAAGAAAAAAAGAGAGTCAGGCTGATAGCCGCTACTATGTAGAAATCCCCCTACTTCTAATTTGCTGAATGAAGAAAAAAAATCTTTTATTTGTGATATTTTCAGAGACATTTGCTCTAGTATGGTGTATTTAAATAATAAAAACTTAAAAGAAAAATATTCAACAGAGTTTGGGTTTAAACTCTGCTTTTTCTCTTATGTATTTTGGAAAAATTAGTGGTATTTTTGTTGTTGTTGTTGTTGTTGTTATTGTTGTCGTCTACAACAAACATTTAAATTTAGGGGTGAGGGTGGGGTTGACACCTGTATTTAGCTCCAGGCTAATAAAGTAGTCCTCACATTATTTCACCATGCCATTTTGATCGAAGAACGTCGGGTTAACAGCACTTTGCATCCGAGGCTTTGGTGTGTATACATGGATACTTGCTGGCCGTTTCTGCTCTGCTCTCAGTAGGAAAGCCTTGGGTATTATTGGTCACAGCACAAGCATCTTCTCCTCTCAGGTTTTGTAGCTTTTGAACACAGCAGCATTTCTCCAGCCATCTGTGTGTAATCTGAAGCCCCGTTAGTTTAGGGACTCCAGAGCTCACTCTGGCCTTGGTGGTCTTGGATGGGAGCCCTGGGACTGTTGACCTGTGGTAGCCCTGTTCCTTTTGAGCTTCTTCCTTGATGCCTTTTCCTGGTAATTACTGGGGGAGGATTCAGGTCTCCTTCAGTCTTGAGGTAGTTGCTGGCTCCTAGTTGCTAATCTCAGAGAGTCTCCACCACAGTGGCCACAGAGGTTCCTCTGGAAGCTGTGGAGTACCATGCTTCAGTAGCTGCCCTGTTCCTACTGGACCTAGCAAGAGCCAAATGGGCCTGGATGCCAGGGTGCTACCATGACTGGTTCCGTGGGGCCCACCTCAGCTGCAGCCTCACAGGCTGCTGACACCTGGGCTTTCATGCTGCTAGTGCTGTTGTCTAAAAAGAGTGTTTTATTTTGTTTGATCGAATCTCCTGATGAAGACCCTGCTCACTTCCTGCTTCCAGAGATCCAAGCCAGGGGGAGAAGTTGGTTGTTGAAACAGCAGACCTCCTGTAAGAGAATTTAAAGGCAGAATGTTAAAGTGAATCATTTGCCTTCGTTTTAAAAAAAAAAAAAATGCAAGGAGAATAACAAAAGATAAAGAAATACATGTGTGTTCATCACACACACACACACACACACACACACAATCTGAGGATCCACCTTGGAGAATTTCTCTAAACTTGTTCTGATTTTAACTACTCCCCCTTCCCCCCTTAAGCTACTTTCTGAAAGAATTTGGTCTGTTCAAGGGGGAAGGTGTTGTTCAGAGGAGTGCAGACATCTATGTTTTTAGCAAAAGCACTCATGTCACATGTAGTGTGGAAATTCAAAGGACGTGGCTAATAACTTTTAGTAATACAGTATGGCATTCAGCGATGGGGAGGGCAAAGGTCATTACCGCCTTTTAAATGAACTGTTATATGGCTGACTCCTCAAGCACTGTGGCGTATTTCCTAACGAGCTTCTAAAAGCATTTCTTAAGTTGCAGGACCTATAAGATTACAAATGTCACTCATGTTAGTATAATCCACATGCAAGTGATGAAGCCTTCTCTTTGATGTGCTAAATTGGAGAAGGACTAATGGAGCTATGAATATACAATAGAACATATTTAAGTAGTAGTCTTGCTTTAGGTAAAACACTTTCTTGAAACCAGAGGCATTTCAGACAATAAAACCCGGCTCTAATGGGGATGCTCGATGTGGATAGACAGCTACTAAAAACACTCAGGTTTATTCTGATATAAGCAGTGATGGTGTGCCGTTCCTCCCCAAACCCAATGTTTCGTTGGGGGTGGGGGACCCTGAGCTTACCCACCTTTCTTGCACTACATTTGTGATGTGGGTATGTGTTCTGAAAGACGAAAAAACCACGTCACACAGCAAGACAGGCCCTGGTCCTTACAAGCACGCACAATTAAAATAAAAGCAAACATTCCTGAGCCTTGCTGAACTCCTGATAAAAAATTATGTTTATGATACATATAAATGTCTCAATCATGCAAATTGTCACTCTTGCTAATGAAACAATTTTGTGTGAAGATTGTCCTCTAAAGGGTTTAATGGGTTTTTTGGTTTTTTTTGTCTTTTACCTGTGTGTCTGCCTAGACTTACACACACAAAAAGCCTGGGAGCCTGAAGACATTCCAAACTAAATCATTCCCCACAAGAAACTATTTCCAGCCCTTTCTGGTTTACTAGGAAATAGTTTAACGTGGACTGTTGTGTCTCATAACATGAAGTGAGGAGACTGTGGCATGGAAATGAAGCATGGGAAATAACCAGCCCCTTAATATTAACTATATTTAAATTCTTTCTGTTGCCTTTATTCACACTGATATTTAAAACAACTAATCATCTAAAATGAAGCTCTTCCATTAGATGCCTTTAAGTGTCAGTATAGTAAGATTCTAATGTTCAGTACTGGTTACATAAAATATTTCTGAGGGTCAATAAATTATGGAACAAACAGTGAATCCAAGAGCTATCTATCGAGAGCAGAGTGAAGAGTTTCCATATAGCTTAAATAATTGTTGTGAATTAAAAGTGGTTGCCCAAAGAGACTTTCAGGGGCTGGGGTGGGTTGGGGGTGGAGGTGGTGGGGGCGGTGAGTCCCATCCCGGACCCTCGCTGCCTCGCCCTCACTTTAGGAGGATGTTGCCAACACAGATCATTTACAAGTTAATGTTCATCTTGGTTTTGTTACCTAGACTCACCTATTGTCAGTCCAGCCAAGTCACAGGAATGCTTACTGCAGTTAAAAAGCAATTTGTTTCCACGAAACTGCAATTAAAGTATTACCAAGCAGCCATTTTAGATTGGCAGTGCTCTGAAGGCATGTTAAACAGCCAGCAACTTGCACTTGCAGAGGCTGAGATCTGACAGGCGGCAAAGGATAACACCTTTGCCGGCACTGAGCACCTAGTTAACTGGCATTTGTAGCTCTCTCTTCCCATTGTACACATGCTGAGAGCAACACGTCAGGACCTATTTTTGGAAGGTGAACTTGTAACTCACCTCAAGTGAATATGATTTTCGCTTGTACAGGGCGTGCTTTATGCGCATAGATGTGGAGATGTGTGCACGCATCCTAGAGGGAATGTTTTCAGGTTTGGATTGATTCTGCTGAGAATGGACTGCAACTCAGAGGCCTCAAGCCAATAATGTACTACAGGTCCTGACATGTTACAGCTGTGTAAACAGGGCATTCTCTCTCCTAAATCACAACTAATAAAGCATAGGATGAAAAATCAATTGATTCTGTTGTAAGTTCTTTGAATGACCCTGGAAAGTCGTTTAATGATTCAGTCAGAATGGACAATCCACCAAAGTTCCCCCTTTTCTGACCTCTCCTCACAACTGATAGGGGAGTCTTAGTGGGCGTCAGCAGCACCAGAGCCCATCCTGACTGGCTGGGAAGAGGGGGAAAGGGTGGGAACAGTTTTTCTTGCTTATCTATAAAACTGAGTCCAGCATGTGAAATGCCCAGGTCTGAAGATCTGAAACATTGGCCTTAGATCCTAAGAGAGGGCATCTTTCAGAAGTTGTGGAGTTGCTGCTGAATTTTAACCAGGTTGGGAACAATCATTAGCTAGTCCAAGCAGGAAGTGCCTCACCTTCCTTCAGCCCAGAAAGATCTCCTTACCTGGGACCCAAAGGTTTATATCTTCAGCTTCTCCAAAAACGTTTTCCCACTTCTATGCTTTCCCACGTGCTGTTTGAGCTATCTTGTTGGTTTTTTTTTTTTTTTTTTTTTTTAGAAAACACTAAAGATGTTCTTCCTAAATTAATTGTTCATTTTCAGTGAACTGACTGTTTCAGAAACTGTAAAGCAAAAGAATCTGAGGACAAACCGAATTTCCAAATGAAGATTAATTATAGAGGCTGGAAAGGAAATGGATTGCTTGGGCGGCGCTTGTTCGCCTTTTTCTTTAGAAGTTTGCTAGAGATGGGTGTGTCAAAGTGTGAACATTCCTTTAAGGCTTCTGATTCAATTTCTTTCAAGTGTGGGACTTACAGTTGATCTCACATCTCTAACTATACTACTTCCTGTAAGAATTCTATCTTGCAGTTGCGTAGAGTTCTATAAACGTGTTAACATTTACAGTAAACACATATCCATGTAGTCTCATGAGCCTTCATGGTATTCCTCTTGTTTAGTATTCAGTTTTATGTGGTAGGGAAGTTTTACTTGGTTGCTCTTGTTTTGTAGGCCGGGTAAGACGGGGTCTTTGCTCTTTAGCCCAGGCTGGCCCCAAACTCATAGTGATCCTCCTGCCTTAGTCTCTGACGTATTGGGATTACAGGTGTGTGCCACTGTGCCTGGCTTGCATTACTCAGTTTTATAGATGAGTAATTTGAGGTTCTAAGAGGTGATTAAGCATGCAAAGTGAGACAGTGCTCACTGGAAGGCTAAAATTTAAGAGTATGTAAAAAGTCCTCAGTAATTAATGTTTATTATATTACTTCTTAGATGTGAAATTAGTATTAAAAATCCATAATGAACAGAATATCACACCTTTATGTAAGTGCAGGATCAGGTGTTGGAGAGATGGCTCAGTGATTAAGAGTATTGGCTGCTCTTTGAGAGAACCTGAGTTCTGTTCCCAAACCTCACACTGGGCAGCTCAAAAATCACTTGCAACTCTAGCTCCCAGTCTGTCTTCTGGAAACTCAAGACACATGACATATGCACATACAGACACACAGACATACCATATGTATATACATATACAGACACACACACACACAAACACACACACACCACATGGCATATACATATACAGACACAGACATAAACACGCACACACAACCCACATGGCATGCATGTATATAGACACATGCATACATACACATACACACACACAAATTTTAAAAATACATAAAAATTACCTGCAGAGTGGGTATATGCACTTGTTTGCCTGTCTCCAGCATAGTGGTGCCCCACTTTCTGTTTGAACTCTGAGCATTTGTGGAAAACAGCCTTGTAAGCTGAGATTCTGACGGCGATATACCTCCTCCTATGGCCTATAGCTAGCTTCTTTTCCCTGAAAATATTAAAATATTGTATTTTATCCTTCCCCAATCTGAAATATTAACTGGTTTAGGTTGCCTTCATATTTCAGCTTTACTCTAAAAGAATATCTTTTTCAGTATTAAGAAATCTCAACTATCTTATCATGAATAACTATAAATTCATAATGACTCTGACCACAAATTGTTGCTGAGAAAAAGAACAAGGCTTTAGGAATTGTATTAGTTTAGACAGCAAGACAGGTAAATATATTCCACATAAACTAATACATGGTATTTTTAAATCTTCAGCTGAACTAAGTGGTTCAAGCCATATAAAAGGCCAGGAGTTAACTATCTCTTGTGTGTGTGTGTGTGTGTGTGTGTGTGTGTGTGTGTGTGTGTATGTGTGTGTGTGTGTGTGTGTGTGTGTGTGTGTGTGTGTGTGTGTGATGTGCGTGCATGTGAGCTCGAGCTCACATGTACCCTTACTCGGGTGTGGGTGTGTGGGGACCAAAAGTCACCGTTAGGTGTTTTAATAGATTCTCTGCCTAATTATTTGGTTATTTGAGACAGGTTCTCACTGTGCAGCTTTAGCTGACTTGGTACTCACCATGCAGACCAGATTGGCCTCAGACACACAGAGACCCACCTGCCTCTGCCTCCTGAGTGCTAGAGTTAAAGGAGCATGCCACCACACCTGGCCATCTTCACCTTATTTTTGAGAAAATGTTTTCAATGAGGCTCTGGCTAGACTGGGTGGACATCAAGCTCTAGGGACCCTCTGCTCTGCTTCCTAGAGCTGGGATAACAAGTTACATCCCCACTCTCTCTGCTCTAGATTACAAGTGTGCATCCCCACTGTCTCAGCTTCAGATTACAAGTGTGCATCCCCACTCTCTCAGCTCTAGATTACAAGTGTGCATCCCCACTGTCTCAGCTTCAGATTACAAGTGTGCATCCCCACTCTCTCAGCTCTAGATTACAAGTGTGCATCCCCACTCTCTCAGCTCTAGATTACAAGTGTGCATCCCCACTCTCTCAGCTCCAGATTACAAGTGTGCATCCCCACTCTCTCAGCTCTAGATTACAAGTGTGCGTCCCCACTCTCTCAGCTCTAGATTACAAGTGTGCATCCCCACTCAGCTTTAGATTACTAGTGTGCATCTGCACACTCTCCACTTTTGACATGAGTGCTGGGGATCCCGACTCAGGTCCTCACGGTTGCGCAGCAAGCGCTCTAACTCTGGATCAGTTACTTTTCTGTTGTTGCAGCTTAAGGAAGAAAGGGTTTATTTTAGCTTATGGCAGCTTTTAAGCTGCCCCCAGTGACCCACCTCTTCCAGCAAAGGTCCACTTTCTAAAAGTTCCATAACCTTCCCAAACAGCACTGCCTGCTGGGGACCAGACGTTCAACTATGTGAACCTATTTCTCATCCAAAGCATTACACACTCTGGGCCATCTCTCTCACTCCAAGTTGAATTATCACAAGTCATTGCAAAGCCAGGTGTGGTAGCAGATACCAGTAAGCTTAGTGCCCTGGATTTGAAGCCTGGAGGATGAGAGGAGCAAGAGCAATTTTGGCTACATAAGACTCTGTCTCTAAGTAAATAAATAATTAAAAAATAAATAAATAAATAAATGTAAAGTCATTGTATCTTTATATAAAGTACATATACACACAGACATGACGATTTTTATAGAAAAGTTTTACTTGTCTTACTTAGCATATGTGAAAAGCATACACATGATGAAAAAAACCAATATTTGTATTTGTTGTTTTAAGATAGAAAAGCACTGAAGTATTCAAATGGAACAGATTATACTTTTAATTACATCCAAACAGAATTCTAAGCTGATTTTTAAAAACTTGTTGGCTGTTCTTCCTATTCTCCCATTAATTGCCAGAGTCCAAAAAGATATCAAGATTTGTAAATAAATTACAGTAACACACCATTAGATCCAAGTTGCTTCATTACAAAGAGCAGAATAGTTTAGGAGAAAGGTGGCGAAAGGAATGCTCCACTTTAATAAAATATTCTTTGATGTTGTTGTAAAGGTTAAACTCAGAAATACTTGTTTTTCTTGCATATATATGTGTGTATATGTGTTTGTGTGTATGATATATATATATATATATATACATATCTTGCACACACACACACACACACACACACACACACACACACACACACACACACAATCTTTTGGCTATCATGGGTTTGAGTGCCAAAGCACCAGATCTCAACATCCAACAATTTTCTTTATTTTTTTTTCTTGTAGTGTCTCACAACTCAGTGGCCCTTTGCAGGTTATCTGTTTAACCTTTTATTCTGTTATGTACAAGAGAAGAATGTTATCCAATATGTATTTATTTCAGCCTGTAGATTAAATTGCCCTTCTCCCTGGATACAGATGGCTACACATATCCCCTTTAATTTGGAAGGTTCTAGAAAACCTTTTTAATTGGGAAGGTTCTAGAAAACATGCGTAAGTGAATGTACTTAGAGACTCAAAACTGTGGAATATCCATAGTAAATAGCAAAACAGTACATATTTGTTATTACATTATTTTTATTTTATGTGTATATGTGAGTGCCTGTACATATGTATGTGTACTATGTGAATGTCTGGTGCTTGCAGAGCTCAAAAGGGAGCATCAAATTCTCTAGAACTGGAGTTATAGCAGTTGTGAGCCACCATGCTGGTGCTGGGAACTGAACCAGGGTCATCCCCTAAAGCAGCAAGTACCCTTAACCCCTAAGCCATCTCAGTCTGTAGCCTCACTGTGTATGTTTGTGACATGTTTCTTTATGACTCACACTCATAAAGCAGGAAGTCTGGTGCAGTAGGCAGAGTTTGCCACTGGTAGAGACCACAACTGTCCTGCACACAACTAATCCCTTATACTGCTCTCTATGGCATGCCCCAAACTGAAATAGAGTCCAGTTTTTCTATAAATACCTTCTTTTTTCTCCTTCCTCCCTCCCTCCCTCCCTCCCTCCCTCCCTCCCTCCCTCCCTCTCTCCCTCTCTCTCTTTCTTTCTTTTTTCTCCCAACTTGACACAAGCTAGATTTATTCATTCAGAGGGAACCTCAACTGAAAAAATACCTCCAACGAAGTGCCTGTAGGCAGGCAAGTCTATAAGGATTTTCTTGATTAGTGATTGACTAGAGAGGGCCCAGCCCACTGTGAGAAGTGCCACCCCCTGGGCAGGTGGTTCTGGGTGGTAATAAGGAA